ATTCATGTACAGACTCATTCCCATTTAGAAACCTCTTGATTGGTCAGTGGGCTATAAAAAAGTAAAAAGAGTAAATCAAACACATTGTATATAGAACAGAGCCTGAAAAGAATCCAGCACATCAAAGCAGATAAACAAAGACCAAAGCAAATGTGGTCACCAAAGATTTTACACCTTTAACACATTCTACACTTTTAAATCAATACAAAAGTAATGAGAAAAAACAACAAACATATGAATCTTCTTGCAAACTATGAATGTTGCCACGAGAGGATTGGGTAATCTATTTTTTATCTTCTCTATAAAAAATGCATGTTCTTTGGTTGGAGGTCAGAAAAGATATTTACTAATACATGTGCTGACAATGAATGCTTTTCAACGATAGTGTTTATTAATTCGCATATTTAGACTGAGAAAAAATAGTCATGCGCTTACACAAGGTGTGTGATTTTACATTTGCCGAAGAGTGCCTTTTTAGCTCTTTGGCCTTTTGGACTGTACTTTCTGTAGAATCTTGTGTTGAATAGTTACATTTTTTATGATGTAAGAAGCTTACGCTTGAGCGTTGATGAGCATTTGGAAGGAAAACCCAGACTGGATCAATAGAAATAGCTTTAAGGTAGAAGACTGCTTCTGTATATGCTCTGAGATGCATTAGTTTCTCAGCCCGCCTGTAAGGGTCACTCACTGCATTCAAATGCCATCTGCATTCAAATGCTATGTAAATAAAGTACTTGGTCATGATGATTCCTTTGAAACAAAATGTTGTGCATCCATCAGAGCTTGGAGGGTATTATTTGACTATTTTAGCTGTAAAGCAAAGCATCTCATGTAACTGTCCTTCTATAGTATGTCATAACAAATAGTGTCAACCCTAATTGAAGTGTTTTGATTGGTCTAAATTAATAGATTCTTTTGAAAATAATGAGAACATAATTAGTCATAATCAAGTATGCTAACAAGAGCTGATTTATTAACTGATTTCTCCATACCGGCTTCGTCAGTGTTCACTGCATGCCAGGCTTTATTTTAATAATGCTGTCTGTCCCAATCATCATCAAACTACTTTTTTTATTGTTGCGAGAGAAGTCAGTTATGAAGCTCTCAAAGTGCCAGGCTCTGCTGATTCCTTTTTTCATCTAACACACAACCCTTTATTTAGCATCCTAATAAAGCATCTATTCAGAGAGGAGGATATTTGGAGTGATTATGAGTCAGTGGGAGATGTAGGTAATAGTTTTAGTACCATACCTGATCTCCAGTTTAGTGGAGAGGGGATATGCTTCATTAGCTGGCTAAACAATCCAAGTATTCCCTATGACATTTCATACCATATGGGTGAATGTCTGGGAGAAGGAGAAGAAGGGGTACTACACATTTGGTCACCATGGTAGAGAATGAAATGTTACTGTTTAAAGAAATTACGGTACTGATGATAAATTGTTTCCGTCAACTTCTTTTGCCTTCCATCTTCTCCCTTACCTTTCCTGTCTTCTCCCCTGCAATGAGCATTTTACACATTACTGAAACAATTTAGTAAATTCTAAGTCAGAGCGATAGTTATAATAGTTAATACATATACAGACTTAAATTAGGTGGAGCTACAGAGATTCACAGCTCAGATGGGAGGGTTGTTTAAAGGAAAAATGTTAGTTGACTACTACACAAATAGGATGCTATAGCCATAGTCAAGAACAGTTTTACCCTTTTCTTAAATAAACACCCAAAACATTGGACAACAACAAATGTGTAGCGTTAGTAGAGATTCCCCAATAATTCATAGCTTTTGCAGGGGAGTGGCAGCCTAGTGCGCATTGCACTTGGAATCCAGAGGTTCTCAGTTCAAGGCTCACTCCCACAAACTGCCACTCTGGCTCCCTGAGCAAAAGACCCTTAACCCCACACTGCTCCCAGGGCGCCGCACAATGGCAGCCCACTGCTTCCCAAGAGGATGAGTTAAATGCAGATAGTGAATTGTGTTGCTCTGTACTTGTGACAGTGTAATCACAATAAAAGCTGGAAAAATCAAAAATTGCAGCGAAAAAAAAATCTACAAATATCTAAATCATAAGGCTAAATGCTACTGTATCTATTTATACGGACAAGTACAACAACTGATGTCTGTATAGCAAGAGCTAATTCACAGTACTTGTCCCTAGATGGGGAAACTTTAAATATTTTGAATTTGTATGCAATGAAAAACATCAACAGGGTATATAATCTTTCTTGGACTCAGCAATAATACACACTTCTACAATGTTTGATGTCCACATATAGCGTTAAAAAAAAACAGCAAAAAAAAATCTCCATGACATCTATTAAGGTTTGTGGAATGAAATGTTTCAAAATGTCAAAGATAATATAAATACTTTTGAATAGCTATGTTAACCTCTCCAGAGACATGTTGCTGCCTCTCAGGGCTCCACGAGTGGGAAGTAACAATCACAAATCTGCACAGATAGGCATAAACTTCAAGAAATAGATGGTAAAGAGAGGCGAACCAAGAAAGTAGTCAGAGCAATGAGTCCAAAATCTGTGGCAATTAATTTCAAGATCATGGGCAAGCTTTTCTGTCAAGCCAACTAATTTGAGTTGAGTACTACTGGCCTACATAGAACAGGAGGATTTAACATAATTGTTGTGAATCCACATGTGAACATGACAGGCATGCCAACTTGAGAATATAATAGACCCTGGAGGCTTAACTTGTTAAGGCAAGAAGTTATACAAAATCAGGTCATAATGTCCTCTACTTGTACTGATGTGATTTTTACACTGGCAGCAGACAAAAAGATTAAATCATGTTCCTATCATCGAATGTGCTTGACCTCATATCAATCATATTTTACATACAACCAAAAGGAGTCATAAGGAATCAGAGAGGTGTTTATTAAACCCTATATAACTGTTTACCCTACGCTACAATATCTGAAATCATTCTGCTGAAAACTGAACAAAGAGGGAGAACATTGACAGTAACAAACTCTGCAGCAGCGTTTGTTCTGGAATAATAAAACCTCAGAGTAGTTATAGGTGCAACTGAAAATATTTCTCTTTGTTTGGCCTCTTTTGTTCTAAATCCATAAATAACTGAGACCACCTATGCTTTTGAAGTAAGATGTGCAGAAATGTTAATAAGCGGTAAGACATAGAGTCATACTTCCGGACGTATTCTCCCTCAGAAGCTAATTAAAATACATCTTTTTGATCTTGTAATAGCAGTGCTTCTTGGGTAAACAAAGCAAGTGACAATGACACAGTAATGGATTTTAGCATTTCAAGAGCAGAGGAAACTTTTTATCTATGTCTATTTTTATAATTTCCCTATGAAAAATAGGGATAAAAATGTATTTGAGTGCTTCTCAAAAAAAGAAAAATCCGGTACTACCACTTAACGGTAACACGTTTATATTATGGCCCTAAGTTAGATTTTCTAACATAAGAACTTCCAATTTCTCCAAACTATTAGGAAGAGGCCTTGTAACTTGAAGAAAAAAAAAGGAAACTAAAAAGGAAATAAGAAGCTATTCAAATTCTGATAATGCTGACAAACAAGTTCTGAAACTATAGCCATTTTTTTTTTTTGTAAAGTTCCTTGAAAGTACCTTGGTTGTGAATTTATGTTCTATTTTTAAAATTAATTATTTTTACTTACATTTGTAAAGCCTAAAATTTCCTTTGTCAAAGATTCCCTTGGCTTGTCTCTTTTGTCATTCCATCGTTAAAAAGGTGGCTGTCAATGATGCAGTGCAACATAACACGCTTTCTTCTCATCCATAGCATTTGTCACATAGAACCACATTTAACATAATGAATTTTGACATTTTTATTTTTTTATTTTCAAGTCTACTGTCTTTATCATTCTCATTCATAGAGATAGCAAATTTTGTGAAATTTTTAATCACTATATGAGTGAAAACCACCTCCACTGACCTAAAATCCACTGAAGTCTACGGTAAAGGGATAATACATCTATATTATGGATGTGAGAACCCACATTTTAATAAATAACTTTGCTATTCAAAGCTCGGGATATTTCCAGGGGCGGAGCTAGATAAAGAGCCAATCATCGGTCACCTCTGTGGCCACCCATACCTTTTTTTCCTTCTAATACAGATGGTGGCAGCAGTAATACTCTCGAGTAGAATATTTAAAACATTTACATTTTTATATATTAAAATTTACTTGACAACAAAAGCACTGTGGTAAATTATGCACATCAATATACTAACATTAAAGATGATAAGTGCAGATTTCATGCTCTTTTCAGAAATAGATTTTGTGTTTTATGGGATAAAGAGAAAATGATAAAATCAGTGATAAATAACTACTTTATTAAAAACTTAGTAAATAATCAATTTATATTGATATTAGTACTTAATATCAATTTTATGCAGAATGGTTATTGATAAAATTAGGTAAGTAATTACAATGGAAAGATGTTCGCTATACCATTTATCTATACGGATGATTAAAAATACAGTATGTGTTTATTTGTAGACAAAGGTTGTAGGAAAGTATAAGTTTCAATTATTTTTTTTAAATAAAAAAACAAAATAAAAAAATTAAATTAAAAGAAAATTAAAAAAAGTTTAAATTAAATTCAATTCAGTTTATTTCTATAGCCCCAGTTCACAACAAATGTCATCTCAAGGCACTTTACAGTTTACCAGATCATACCAGATTATCGTCAAAATTTATAAAATAAAGTATAGTTTGTCTTTATTTAGAAAATATGGACTTTGTGCTTGTTAATTTTCCTGTTGGAACAGTGTAGACTGACCCTGAGGTTCTGGCTCCTATCCACTTTCGTTCACCCCTTAGTATACAATGGTTATTGCCTGGGCACCCTTATAAAAATGTTCTGGCTACGCCTCTGGTTATGTCTCATTTTCAGAGCTGAATGTTGAGGAAAACCTCGCGAGCGCTGGAATGTTTGGAGTCTGGTAACCATGGAGACGCTTCCTGAATTAGCTAACCTGTCTATCTTCTTCTTACGCCTATACATTCCTAGTTAGCGCTTTTTGTTAAGACAGGCATTGATATACCTTCAGTTAATCGCTTGATGCAGTTCACTTTTCGGGATCAGACAAACTTTATCCTGATAATTTCCGAGGAACTCTTCAGTTTAATCTTCGATGTGACGCATCACAATGTTTAAGGGCAATTACCAGGTAACTGATATCTGCGGCATGCTTTACTAATTTTTCTGCATATATTTTTTAAATGTTAATTAATATTAGGAGGAGGATAAAATAGTGAATAGCTCCTATTGTTGCAGGGGGGAGCTGTGTTTGATCTCTTCAGTGGACAAGGAAATGACCCTGTAGCCAAATGGAAGCTTTGTGGCGGACCTTCGGCTATACATAAAGTGAGGTTTACAAGCGCGCTCCTTCTGCTTTTTTATTTACACCACAATCAAATTTAACAGGCCCATGTGTCCTCTAAGTCACGCTATTGTTAGATCTTCAATACGGGCTTGCACAAGCATGCAATATATAGCACAGTCTAATGCAGCATAGTGGAACAAAATACATCAGTGAGCACTATTGTAAGAAAAAAAAATAGAAATGTTACAAAACAGCTCAATAGCGATGTTCACTGCATAAGTGCCATATGGTGGGATCCTGATAAATCAGATCAGATGTCTGCAACACAGATTCTGTGGAGGTCAGTTGCTTTTTTCATACAGAGCTGACAGAGATTCTTACCTTCATTACAATAGATGCCAAGCAATACTGCCAACTAAACACTTTTTTCAGCTGGAATTGATCTTGACATATAGACTTTATGGCTTAAGCCTCTTATATATGCTCCCATAAAAGCCATTTGTTATCCCCCCGGGACATTTACACAACAGGTATACAGTCATACATGGGAAGGCCTCAGACTTAGTGAGACCTCTTCTGAATTATGTTCTCTCTTAGGAGTATAATAAAGAAGTTAAAGGATTTGTTTACTGTCTGAAAGGAAGCAGCCACACTGTCAAAATGCAAATGCCAGAGAATGCTAAAATGTCCCGTAAGTCAATATCATTCTTTTTATACAAGCTCCTGCACAATTATGTTTGTTTTCTAATTTGTATGGTGATTATTTTTTTTTTCCATTATTGGTGTTTCATCACAGTTGGGCTTATTCAACCATTTTTGGTCCTTCAAGTAAATGTTCCAGAGCGCTGTGATTTTTCTATTGAGCTTGTGTAAGTATACATTTAAAATACTTTTCTCATAATATGAAATTTAAAACTCTTAAAAGTTTTGTTAAAGTATTATTATACTATATTTTTCAGATTCCAAGAAAAAAGTTGATATTTGATATATAGTTTACTAGCCTCTTTTGATAGTGATTTCTTTTTTCCCCCCATAAATTCAGATAATAAAATCAAAATCATTTAGTTTATTACAAACAGATGATATATTTTAGGAATCGATTTCTGGTCATTTTGATAGCCGACATCCATCAGCTCATAAAAAGCAGAAAATTCAATTTCTGAGAAAATTAAATATTTCTATTAGATAAATAACAATAAATAACCAACCTTCATTGCAGACACATTAAATTGGTTTGGGCTCTTTTTGCATTGTATATTTATCTATCTTTCTACTGCCTCATTGTCTGTCTGGCCATCCATTCATCCATCCATCCATCCATCCATCCATCCAT